TTTTTTCATCATAAGATTAGAAAATTTACCCACTTGAGGGAAGAAGAAAAGTTAACCGAGGACATAGTTGAATTATAAAGAGCAGCCAGAGGTCAGTTGATCAAAGATTTAAGATAGGTTTACAGCAGAGGGATTGACAAGAAGGCAAAAACAAAAATTTGTACATGTACACTTAAACAATCATGTGACCACTTTAAGAACTATTTAAGCAAACTTTGGTAAACATAATATAATGGTGCTTGACCAAATTTTAGAAACACTTCAGTTGTGGACAAGTCATACATGGCAAGACTAGTGAAATGCTTACCTCGGCGGAAAGAGAATTTGTCAGTTGAACAGAATCTATTGGGAAAGTTAAGGAAGGATCACACAGACACTCGAGAAGATTGTTTTCCAGCAAAGGATCCACTTTTAAAACTTTATCAGCCTGTTTATTTGCACTAGAAGACTGATCTGTTGGGATGGACTCTGTTCTATCTGGTTGAGGTGCATCAGTACCTAATAAACAAATAGTAAGCAGTTACCAAGGTGAAAATGTTAATTTTTAATTTAAGTTTACTGAAACAGCCCTTTTTCAAATCTTTCTGTTCTAACCAGCAATGTTTGCATATATAGGTACTTAGTATTGCAGAAATTCAGGATCTAAACTTTTCAAGTAATAATTTTTGTAATTACAAGAAAAATTGTTGCACAAGCATACTAAATTTCACACTTGTGTCATTGGTTCATTTTCTAAACCCTGGAAGGAATTGACAGGTCATATATCTGAGTCAAGAAAGCAAACTTACAGGTACCCTTGATAAAATCTTTTAACAAAAGGGCAAAGGGTCTCAGTAATTCTAATCTAAACAAAACGTAGAATCCTGCTAAGTAGTTTTCTCTTGTGTCCAAATGTACACTAGGCCATGAAACGTAAATGAACAAGCAATCAAGGAGTCTTCTTGACAATAAGACTTCATGTTTAACTGGATCAGAGACAAAACTCCTGAGGAGGAGGGGGTGCAAATTAATTGGGGATCAAGTTTTCACAAAGTATTCATTTCAGTAAAGTGCACCTGCATCTCTATAAAGCTCTGCTTTTAATATCCTCGTTCTTTCAACGTTTCTTCCTGTTTGTTTCCGGTGATTAAATCTGATTATGGTGCATGCTGGATAAATATAATAATAGTAGACCAATCCCTCCCCCCCCCAACCCCTCTAATTTCCGTAGCTCTCCGCTCTCGATAAATAAACACTCTCCTAACTTGAACCTTTCTCAGTTTCTCTCTGAGGTTCGAGTGTAAATCAAGAACTGACGTCTCAAGTCCTTACATCACCTGATGAATCATTGTCTTCTACACCTCTTCCTTGGCGATCCCTCATTCGCCGTTGAAGACGATCACGAAATCTTTCCTGACGGCGCTTGTGTTCCTGGATCTCGGTCCACGTGTCGGACATTCTATCGTTTCACTGAAATGAAGGATACTGGAGGGAAAAGGATGTAAAGGGTATTCAGAGTAGTCAGTTGTTGGCCAGAGCCAGAGGAAAAAAAGATAATGCAGGCGATCTTAGGAACCTGGCTATTAACATTTGATGCTAAGTATCCAAGCCTTGTATTTGAAAAGTAGGCTGTACAAGTCATGGAGAATTTCACTGCTATTCTTGAAAGTATAGGTTCCCAAAACGAAGCAGCTGCTGTGAAAACACTTCAACAATTTTGTTCTACAAACGAAAAGACTTTCAGCTTCTTCCATGTGGACTTAAGTCTTAGAAAGAAATTGATTGATGCGATCCTCGATGATTTGTCCACGAAAGACCGTGGGGTTACCTTCAAAATACACGGTCTCCGTGCTTTGAGGATTCTAAGCCGTGATAAAGACGGTCTGGGATCGCTTACTTCTGATAAGTCGTCATTAGTTCTACTTTCACTGGCAGAACTTATGATAGAAGTGTCCAAAGCCGCGCAAAGTCTTCCTAAAAAAGAACCAGAACAGCGAACAAGACATGAAGACCAGCAGGAAAATAGAGAGAACACTTGTGAGAGAGTTATCGCATACAGCGATGTAGTTATTGAAGCGCTCAAATGTTTATGTAATGTAGTCTATCACAGCCAAGCAGCTCGTCGACTCTGTTTAAAGTACAAATGCATCGAAGCAATCATTGCAAGGATAAAAATATGGTTTGAGATCAGCCGCTTGGCTACCGATGTGAAATACTTTGATCTCAGATTTCTTTTCCTTCTTACTGCTCTTGAAAACGCTGCGCGAGTGGACGTTATTTCTAACAATGGCTTTTGTGTCTTGACTCATGCTTTGGATAGCTGTATTCCAGGGAAAGATCAGAGAAAAGTCTGTCATGAAACCAAAGTTAGAGAAGGTTGTGGACAGTTGACAGGAGCAAGGCTCCAGGCGCTGACTGTTGTGGAAAGGTAAATATCGATGTTTTTAGCGAAAGCTAAACTTTAATTTACTTCAGATTGTACAAATGAGCAGTTGTTGCAATTTAAGATGAATTCCAGGTCAACTTATTTTCAAATAGTTTTATGTGTGTATTCCTTAAGTCATGATAAATTACCATACTCCTGTGGAAAGGACAATTCAAATCCAACCAATTTGGGTTGTTTTAATCTGAAGTCATTTCAAACCACGGCATAGATTTATAGAAATATTAAGTTTACTTTTATTCTATTATGTATATGTTGTAGGTAATTGATGGGTTATATTGCCAGGGCCTGTTGATGTGTCATCAACATGTAGGTGCAATTCAAGCAAACTAAAACTTATCCAATCTGTGGATCGTCAGTGCACCAATTTTTTCAATGATATGCTGAACTTTACTTAAGGATAGTGAACTTAAAACACTGCTTAATTAGATCAATTTCCTTCACTAACTCTTGTTAGACTTAATTCTAGTACAGTACAACGTAGAATGAAATGTAAGGTGATTCCTCGTTAATGGACTGTGAACCCTGTTCTTTGCCACATTGAGGTTACTGTCAGTGTAGATACTTTTAAAAATCTTCTTCACTTAACTTTTCAAGACTAATTACTGGGGACAATTTATGTGATTCAATTCTCTGGTTAAACCCATATCAGATTTTCATATCCTCATGAGCAAGAAATACAGAGAACCCGAAATCTTTGCTGTCAGTTTTAAAATTGGTAATAAAATGATTTCAAGTGCAATTTGGTGTAAACAAGCACAAGTGAATTTTTCAAAGACAAGGGAAAGTGCCATTTGTAGTCATCGAAAAATTTGCAGGTGCTTTATATTTACACCAAATTACCCAAGAAAAGTTATATTACATGGATGAAAGTGATCCTCGCAGGAATGTGCACTACTTAGGCAGTAGTGCAAATAAGGCCTGAAAAAAAAAATTCAGGCCTGTACAGGATTTGAACCCATGACCTCTGCGATAACGGTGCAGTGCTCTACCAACTGAGCTAACAAGCTAACTGAGAGCTGGTCATGATATTGGTTCTAAATAAACCTGTGAAGTGATGAACAAACGGTTGAGAATATATGAAAGTCATATATTTGAACTGTGGATAAAGACGTGAATGAAAGTGATCCTCGCAGTAATGTGCACTACTTAGGCAGTAGCGCAAATAAGGCCTGAAAAAAAATTCACGCCTGTATGGGATTTGAAAAGTTTGTTTGTTTGTTTTTTTTTTAAAGTTATATTACTTAGTAACAATTGACATGAAATTAACATCACAGAACGTCAAGGCAGACAACATTTTGATTGTGTGCACTGTTTGTAGTGCACACAGTCATTGTGCTTCCAGACTTTTTTATATATCCTATTAATATTTCATTCATTTTTTATAAAACCGGGTTATTTTCATGTTATTTAACTATTGTGGTGGAAATTGCACTCTTGCTTTTCTGTGGTCCAAATTTGATTTGCAATGGTTAATTAGTGATCACAAGGCCTTTTAGAATCATCTAGGTCAATTTTTATTTGACTGTGTTCCTCTCCTTGATTGAAAATCACTGATATTACCTTCTCCCAACTAAGGAAGTTAGTTTTTTTCCATTGAGCCACTATATTTATCATGAAGTCATCTTGAGGAGAGTGAAAATAATTATTTCTGTCATAACCAGATATAAAGAGTGTAAATTTCCTTGCAAATCTTGTCTTAAATTAACAAATGTATTTTGTGGTATGTAAAGTTATATGATTATTATTTGTAACCCTCTTACAGGTCCAGGATTGAGGAAAGTCCAGTAACTTACACCATGTCACAGGATGAGATTCGTATGTCTGCTGAAATCCTGAAAACAATGTTTAACATCACAATAAATCTACCTGATGCTGATACCACTGACACACTTGAACACTGCGAAAGGATAGTGTTTATTGTACGAACCATGTTTGCACACATCAATCCATTGTCTGAACAGCCAGAGAACCTTCCAAATCATGCAATTAACATCCTATCCAACATGCCAACTAATTGTCTCCAACACTTAATGTGGACAATGCCGTCCAGTGTTTGTAAAGCACTTACCCAAGATTTTGAGACAAGACGGTCATTGAAGACGTTTAGGATATATTTTGAGGTTTGAGCATATTAATCAATAGACTGAGGAAACTGGTTGGAAAATCTTGCAGACAACAAAAATGATATTAGTGGTGGTGCAATGATTGTTGGTAACTCTCAGACTGTGCACAATATTTTGCCTTCATGTCCATGCGTTGGGAATGAATAGAACAACGGATAGTTTCTATTGGTCAATCGATATGACATCAGTGGAAGCCCACTGAAATTTTGTCCAATCGAGTCCAAAAACAAATGTCACAATAAACTACAAAAAGAAACCTGTTGGGCTTTCTAACCAGTTGCCTCTACAAAATATGTTACAAAAATTATAAAGAGGTAGTACTACTACTACTACTACATATAAAACTGATGAACGACTTCTAGAATTAAACAATTTCCTCAATTGATAAGTTTAGTTCATGTGTAAGGTAAAGTAAAATGTAAGGTTTGAGGAACAATACAGTTACACACAGGGCTTTTATTTTTAATGGTTTTACTTAACTTGTAGTTATTCTTTCAATCTTCATGAATACCAAAGGGAAAGTGCAATTCACTGTTAAACATTCTGTATTTTGTGGAATCTCCAACAGATACAGTTATAAGAGTGACAAATGAAAGTTGAAAATTTGTTTGCTATTTTGAGGGTTTGTTTCACTCTTTATTATGAACTTGAGTATTAATAAGGTAAATGTGCCATTCATTATGGCAGTTTCTTGAAGGTGATGTGCTGGATTAAATCAAGTTCCATAGAGCAGGGCCAACACAGTCAATGATAAGACACTAAACCTTTCTGGTCTGTCTGATTCTGAATCGTTCACTCTCTTGTTAAATTACTAACAAATAATATAAGAAAAACAGTTACATTTGCCAAGAACTGCAATTTTTAATGTATTATGCATACTTGTAAATTATTGAATGAAGACACTGAAACCCTTTTGGTAAGAACATTTTAATTAATATATTTTAATTTGACAATAATAATTTACTTTAAAAGCAAATTCTACAACAACTGCCAAAGCAGAATCTATTTGAATGTTAGAGGGGATTGTGTCATGATTCTCCACAAAGTTTGTGACCTTATTGCTACTTTACAAACAAAACATGTATACCTGTTTTTTTGTCTTTTAGAAATATAATATGCTGACAGTTCAGACTATGTTGACAATCCTGGATGGTCGTCTTAAAGTTGCCAGTCAGCCACCACAGGAAGAAATTGTCCCATTTCTTAGTGCCTTTTGTCAAATGGCACGTGGAAACAGAGTGATAAGGAAGTATCTACGACAAGAAGTGCTGCCACCCTTGGGAAGGGTGGGTACCACTCGCCCAGAAGAAGGAAACTTAATAAGGAATGGCCTGGTCAGGCTTATGACATCGCCAGTTGGAGATATTAAGGTGGGTTTGTGGAGATTAATGCCATTTGTATTGACTGTTACAATGTTTCACACAGAGTTCGGGAGACAGAAGGACACATACGCACACCTTGAGTCAAATGAACATTGTGTTTATTTAAGTATGATGATATGCAGAACACCATTTCAAGAATCAGTGCAGTGGAAAAGTCTAAACTTCTAAACCATAATTTTCTGAGGTGTTGCAACACTAAGTTTTTTTTTATTAACACAATTTGTATTTTAAGTTTTTTCCAAAACTATAGTTGTCCTAGAGTTTTTCACAGTTCACTAATATTTTCTAAAATTAGCAAAATAGCAGGTAATAAGAAATTACTTGAAGGTCACAAGTGTTTCCCTTTTCAATACAACAATATAGCCCTGTAAAGAAAGTTTGCCAAGGATAGTTAGGTGCTAAAATTGGAATTTTTTTTTCATCAGGAGCTGGTGGCAGATTTTCTATTTGTTCTCTGTAAGGAGAATGTCAATCGGCTCATTAAATACACTGGTTATGGCAATGCAGCAGGGCTGCTGGCTTCACGTGGACTTATGGGTGGTGTTCAGCCACAGAGTATTGGAGATTACTCTTCAGATGACGATGATTCTGAGACTGAAGAATATTCCATGGATAAGGCACAGATTGATCCCATGATAGGTGAGTTTCTTTATGAAGGTTAAGATTTCAAGAGGAGTAAATAATAGTTATTTGGTCCAGTTGTGTCATCATAAAATGAAATAGTAAGAGAAAGAGAAACACCTAAAAGTTTACGGAAAAGGACACATGGGATGCTTCAAAAAAGCCCGTTTTAGATGCTGGTTGATCAGCATTATATGATGCTTCAAAAGGACAAAAAGAGAGAATATAAATTTTTAGGTATTTTGTAGGAAACGCATTGAGGTACAGTCTTGTACAGTCTAGCAGTGAGTAGTTTTTTTTCACTTACTAAAGTGCAAAAGACTTAAAAGTACTACTCAGTTATCACACTGTGTGTAGAATCTTTTTACAATGTAACAGTTTATTGGTCTGTTTGTTAGAGGGATACCCAGATTGCCAGACAAAAATCGTCAATTCAAGTCAGCAATGTCGTAGCCACTCTAATTACTATTTTATCATTTTCAATTCTTTAGAACATTTCACAGTGTGAAGGTGTTGGATTGGTAGAATTTTTTGTAATGAAATTGAGTAACAAGCTGATATGGGGTTTCCAAGAATATCGATCCTTTCTTCATGATCCCAAAAATGAACTTTCAGTTCATGTACACTGTATGTGACTTGCTTAAAAGCAAAACGTTGTGGGTGAAACGTTGGCTGTGATTGGAGTTTGGAGGCCTTAATTAGGACTTGTTTGTTAAATTGTTAATTTAATTGGCTGGAGAAATTTCATTTTGGTAGGGAAAAGTGAGACAATTCCAAACCTAATGACTGTGGCAACCGTGGGACAGCTAATTGCATTTGGTGTAAGATATTTTCACTGGGCATTCGGTGATATTTAGATTGTTTTGTTGTTAGGTGCTATTCCAAAGGATGATGGGAAGTCTAATCCGCTGGATGAAATGACTGAGCAAGAGAAGGAGGAAGAAGCTGAGAAATTGGCTGGTCTGATCCAGGACCTCAATAGGAAGGGTTTGATCAGGACAGCTCAGGTGGGACCTGATGGCAGGCCTCAAGAATTTCAAGGGGCACAAGCTCTGGGTGAAGAAGAGGCCGCAGAACAAGAGGATGAATTCACTGGAGATTCTGAGTCAATCAGTAACGGAAACGTAGACGAAAGAAAGTTATCATAGAATGAAGGGAACTCTGGCATTCTTCGACAAAAATTAATAGTAGATTATTCTTAGAGGATTGTAAGATCTTCATAATAGGTTTAATTTGTGATACAAAGTGTAAAATATGTTCTGATTGCTACTATAAAATTAGTGTTCTTTCATGTTGATAGCAATTAGGTCAAACCAGGCAGTCCTTTGTGTTAAGCTTTTTTTTTTTTCTCTCTTTTGTCTCTTTTGTTCTCAACACATGAAAGCCTTTTATTCAGAAATATAAACTCCATTGTCTGAAGTGACATTTTCCTTTTTCGGCCAGCAGTCCAAACCCTGCTGGAAAATATTTGGTCGGTACTGTTTTTTTTTGTCAGGAAGACAGTTTAACTTGACGACATGATATGGTTAAATTATTTCTTTTGATGCATTATTACCGGCTCCGCAGCCGGATGGAATATTAATTATCGCAAGTCCAAACAATAACGTAACGACAGGGAGGGAGGGGAGACCCATCGTCATAACTAAGACAAGTGCGCTGCACATGTAATGATATCCTTTATCAAGCAGGATAAGCTTGTTACAGACAACCACGCTGACGCTGCATGTATGTTAGGGACCAGTGCAAACTTCAGAAAGACGTTTAACCCTTTAACTCCCAGAAGTTGCTAACAAGTAACTTATCCCCGCAATATCCATGCACTATCTAGCAAACAGGTAATGAAAATATTCTAATGTATCAGGTAGAATTCTCGCAACTCATTTACAAGGAAATGTGTAGCAGCTAGAGGGGAGAATTAACAATCAGATCTTGGGAGTGAAAGGGTTAACTCGTCTGGACAAGAGTAGTCCTGGAAGGACTGTTGTTGGTTACGTAATCACGAGAATCACGCGTTACTTGCTGGACTTCAATAACCCAGCTTGGAACAGTCACTGTCACTGATAACAGTTCTGCTTTAGAGGTATTCTCACCCAGACAATCAGATCACATGATCCACAGCTATTCCTTATTATTTATTGCATTTGTTTTACTTGAAAAGTAGACTAGGTTTGGAAAAGTGCCGGGGTCTGCCCGCCATCTTTTACTTGATACCTCACAAACGCGCTTGTGTAAAGGCGATGTTATCTTGAAAGAAATAAAACTTCCTCTGAGCTATCTAGTTTTACATTAGTTCAAAACGTTAGCCTGAATTATCTGCCTCATACACTACAGGTCTGAATAGAATCAAAGCTGTTATGTATAATGGGAAGGTAATGTCAGATAAATCTTGTACTTTTTCTTATAAATCAAATGCTTGTAAGTTTGTTCATCCTGCAGATTCTTCACCCCAATCTAGTCTAAACGTTTTTAAGGATGCCTCGTTTTTCTCGCGATACAGTCGATTTGGAGTCCCTATAAACTTTGGATTGTGTCTTTTCCGTGCTATTGAAACAATTGCATAGAACAATATTTTGAGTTGTTGTTTTTCCTTTGTTGGACTTGGATATTCTTAAACGGGAAGGAGATGACACCAAATAAGAAGGAATTAAACATCAAAAAACAACATGGGTTGCAAACGTAAATCCAGAGTTAAAGAACTGAGAGCAAAACAAAGTGATCGTCCGCTACAATGTATCAATACCGGTGTCTTCGAAATGAAACGCAGACGACCAATCTGTTTTAACTTCCTTGTTCATTAGTCTGATCTCTTTCATTTTCTTTCAGTGCCTTTTCGTTTTTCAAGTTGAGAATGAAAATTAGCGTAAAAATATTAGTTCTTGACGAGATATAGCCACACCACTTTCGATGTCGATAAAGGGCTAACACAACACCGTTTTCTCAATTCGTCAGTTGGGACGCTCGGAACAATTTTCAACGTGAAGACCACATCTCCACACAAGTGGAAAATGGTGAAATGAAGACCTACGAGCATGCATAATTGGTACTGAATACTTAGGAATAGAAATGATTGACATGGATTGACCTCGAGGTTGTAAGTAATCTTTTCAATGAATTTTAAATAATCGTCTTTGGCGATTTATGTTGCAATAAGAGCTCGTTGGTTTTTGGTAATAGTTACTAAGTATCTGCACTCATCAACTCAAGTACGTTTTTCCTAGCTATATTACGTTGGCTTGGCTGAATAATTAACTCAAATTCTTACCTTTTTGTTCCTTTAGCCCCCCCCCCCCCCCCCCCCCCCCCC